GGAAGAAAAAAACAACCCCCACCTGACTAAAGCCACCTTTCAGGAAGTTGTAGAGTGATAAGGTCACCTCTGAGTCTTCTTTTCTCCAAGCTAAACAACCCCAGCTCCCTCAGTTATTCCTCACAGGGCTTGTGTCCCTCATAGGGCAATGTTATGTAGTCTGCATACTCTGAGGTTTTCTAGACCTGACTGGATAAAGCCACCAGCAGCCATAATTCACCTCACAGCTGTCCCTGTGTTAAGCAGCTGACTGGATCCAATGGCAATCAAAAGTCACCTTGAAATTCAATTACTCACCAATCCTACCATCCTCCTGGCTCCCTGGATCATTCAAGCTCATCACATAAGGACCAAGACAGGCAAATCCCAGTATTTCCTGAGCCATATTGCTCCTGAGGAATCCTGCTGTAAATAAAGATGATCCATGTCCTGTGTCCAACCATTCAGCCTTGTCAGACCAAGGCTGTCCTTGGGGATTTCTGATCACTGGGGATTTCTGAGCACTGACATTGACCCAGTGGGTCTAATGAGCTCCTTTGCATTGTCCTTGCACTCAGCAATTAATGTGTCCCTGCAATTTGTCTCTCCTCAATTTGGTGTTTGGGGCTTTCTTGGTGAATTTAGTTTTGTAGAAGGGAATTTTTCATGATGCGGCTCTCCTGCTTGCCAGGGAGTACAAGTACAATCACATCCAACTACAAGTGCAAGAGAAAGAGAACTGAGAGAGCATCTGCAGATCTGTAGGATTTCAACACACAATATACTCGTCTGAGAAAGGCCATGATAGTTTCTACAAACAGCTGATCAAGATTGAAAGTAAAAGGAAAGAACACTAAAGTTACACCAGGATGTTTGGGTTTTTTGTGGAAAAGCCCCAGTTCCAGGGTTTCTGTCTGGCCAAGTCACTTTTTGAGTGCATAGGGAGAGCTCAGAATGAGCAGGGTTCAGCCCCATGAGCTCCTCCTGTTCAGCTGCTGGAGCCCAGGCTGCAGGCTCTCTGTCCAGGGCTGCTCTGCCCAGTGCCACTGGCCAGGCTGCAGGGACAGCCTGTGCTGGGCTCGGCTGTGTGACCCAGGGACGGGCACCTGGGCACGGAAAGGACACGGCCACGGCCACGGCACCGGCTGGCACACACCAGGGGCTGCCCTCAGCCACCCACAGCTGACACCACCAGCACTCCCACTGAATGCAATGGAAGACAGACAGCCCCATCTCCTTCCTCCTCTGCAGCCCACCCACATGGAAGCCCTCTAGTGAAGGCCTGCCCACCCTCACTCTCCACAGCCACAAGCACTGCCCAGCTGCTCCCAATGGGACTGAGAGCCCCCAGCCTGTCCAGACTCACACCTGGCTCTGGGCTCTCTGACCAGGACATCCTTTGGTGGCTCCTAGTCCCTGGCTAGTGCAGCTTGGTGCTTGAGCCAGCCCACACACAGCACACACTGTTCTCATTGGTGTTCTGGCAGTCGTGGGTGCCTTGAATCCCAGCACGAGTCTCCTGCTGGACTGAAATCCCTGTCTATATCCATGCCCTGCTTGCTGGCTGCTCCAGCTCACCATTATAACTTCTCTTGAACAGAAAATGTCTTAATTTGATAAAGTTCATGAAACAGAGGCTGTCATGTTCCACATACCCTTACAAGCTTGTCTTCCCACACTTTAAATATCACAAGGGGTGGAAGACTGTGGAGTAAGATGTATCCCAGCAGAAGGAGACACTTTAAGAGCTGGTAATTGAAGGAGAAGAGACACCAAGGCTGAACAGAGCAATCCATTGAGGTTTAGGCCAGTGCAGATTGCCTCTTCAGTCTGGTCTTACAGACCCCATGCCCTGCAGCAGCCTCTCTGTCCTGTGTCACTGCCTCTGTTGTAGCTGAGGTGTTAAGGCACGTCCAGCCATGGCTTCCCTGGCAAAGCACCACACCCTGCTCTGTGCCACACAGTGCTCAAAGCTTGGGGAAGACACTCTTAGACCCAACATGACCACCCAGTGACCCAGGTCTCAGAATACTCTCTAACTTTTCCCTACCTTCTGTTTGTGATAGTGATTGGACTGCTGCAGACAGTTTCCTTTGAGCGGACATCATAGTTTCTTTCAGCACAAATGCAAGCAGAAATTAAGAACCAATCAAAGAAACAGAGAATCTATCTTCACGTCCTGTTAGTTTTGCACTAAAATTAATTTTATGCTAATGTAGATTTTTATGAGAATTTGAAGTGACGACATAAAACATTTTGTGAAAATATAAACCAGAAATATTTTAAACAACTAACAAAGCAACAAGGGTTCAGAGTTGATTCTGGGAAGTGTTCTAGCAATGACTTTTTAACGTTGTCCAGAGTGCTTGTGAGTTAATTCCAAAACCAGCAACGAGGAAGCACAACATCCAACAGGCTGATCCTGTAAAGTAAGTTCCTACTGATAAGTGACCGAAGGCAGTTATTTAAAAATGCAGAAATAGAGCTGATTTTACAATCTATTGTTAGTTGAATTCAATTCAGTAACTCATTAGATGGTGTTTCTGTTGCTTAGAAGTTGGTCAGGAGCCCCAGAGGAGAACAAGTCAGATCAGAGCACCTTGAAAGACCAGTGACCAGAGACAGGATGGGCTGAGTCCTGGGGACACTCACTGCTGAATTCCCAGCACAGGAGTTTATGGGATGCTGTTTTCTGCATAGCAGAGTTCCAGTAGGAGTCATTGAAGGCACAGTGTGGTATCTGGGAGAACCAATAACTTGATGTAGGAGATAATTTGTACCCATCTGGAGAAGAAAATAAAGGAGGATGGGGAAATGAGGAGAAACAATATTGCTGGTCCATGGACAGGAATGGAAAAACTTGATAGAGGAAAAACATTACAAAGAAGTATTATCTGAAGCACTTACTTCAGCCTGATTGGAAAAATGCTTAGGGTCATATTTAGCTACTTGACATGTTTGTGAAAAAACACCATGTCTAACCAGATTCAAATGTTTAATTTCAAAACTGAAAGTATAAAGCACTATTTAAAATAAAATGGTGTTGAATGTAAATTAAATGTCTGCAAATATCTATGTTTCTTTTGGCACGATTCTGCCTTAAAATTCTGACTTTGAAGCTGGTTTTATACCATGCCAGAAAGTCTCTATTTATATCCTGTTTCTGGGTTCTACACTGTGACCTTCTTTCTGCTTTTGAGACAGCAGTTATGATAATTTTGAGTTTTATTGATGAGAGTACCATGCCCATCTATTACTATACATAAATATATGCATTAATACATATATCACAGAATCAGAGAATGATTTGGGCTGCAAGGGACCCTAAAGAACCCTTCGAGGGATGGTGCATCCACACCTTCAGAGAGCTGAGCATGAGCCATCAGTGTTCCCAGGTGGCCAGGCAGGCCCGTGGCACCTGGTCTGGATCAGCAATGGTGTGGCCAGCAGGAGCAGGACAGGGATTGTTCCCCTGTGCTCAGCACTGCTGAGGCCACTCCTGGAATCCTGCGTTCATTTTGGGCCCCTCACTGGCAGACAGACATTGAGGTGCTGGAGGGAGTCCAGGGCAGCAAGGCTGGTGAAGGGTCTGGAGCCAGGTCTGATGAGGAGCCACTGGGGGTTTTTATTCTGGGGAAAAGGAGGCTCAGGGCAGATATGTTTACTTTTGACAGTACCTGAGAGTAGCTTTTGGCAAGGTGAGGGTTTGGCCCTTGTCCCAGACAAGGCAGGAACAAGGGGAAATGGCCTTTAGTTGTGCATGGAGAAGTTTGGGCTGGATATTGGAAACATTTTTTCATTGAAAGATTGTTAAAATTGGGAATGGGCTGCCCAGGGAAGTGGTGGGGTCATCATCATTGGAAGTGTTCATAACACAAGTAGAAGTGACATTTGCAACATGGTTTAGTGGGCATGGTGGCATCCAGTCAAAGGTTGGATCTTGGAGGCCTTTTCCAACATATAATAATACTGTGATACTAAGGACAAAACACAACTGAAAAAAGAAAAAAAATACCTAAATGTCCTCTCTGCTACCCGGATATTTCCCCAAAAAAACATTTTAGTAAGACTAAGGCTGTGTATTCAATATTCGTCCCAGAAAAGCAAAAATGCAAACTCCAACAGTCAGAAACATTCTACAGCACATGTGTCACAAAATGCTTTGATACATTTTTTTACTGAGATTCCAGATTCTTCTGGAGGAGAAGAACAAACAAGAACTGAACTTCCCCCATTTCATCAAGTCACTCATGCTTCAATGGACTTTTGTACAAGAGGAAGAAGATGTCTGATTGTAGGAAAATAGAAAGCAAAATATAATGGATAATGAGTTTTGATCCCGGGGGGTAATATTGGACATTTTCAGTTCCGTTGACCGGCATGCTTTGTGAAGCTTCTGTTCAAGTATAAATGCAGGGAGGTGAAAGACCCTGCTCAAACCTCAGCCCTGCACTGGAGGAATTGCCCTCAGCTCTGGCAGCCCTGCAGCTGACAGCAAGGTAAGAGGCACCCTTGGCACAGGAGAGCTGGAAGGGCTTCTTGGGCAGCTGCTGTGAAGTGCAGGGCAAGGGAAGGAGGCTTTAGTGCTGGGCTGAGAGCTGCAGCACAGCCGTGAGGCTCTGCTGTGTGCGTGTGCAGAGACTGAAGCCATCTCTCAGGGCATGAGGAGATGGATGGCTGCTGCAGGAGAGACAAACCTCACCCAGGGACAGCCTGGAGGGGGCCACTGATACACAGTTGTGAGGGGTGACTGGGAGAGCATTTACAGCTTAATCTTGGGTATGTAACTAAACCAACACACACATGTCATGAGCCCACTCTTTTCCAGTTACTTTCATGTCTATTCTTTGTTCAAAATGTTTTATTTTTCCTGTTCCCCCTTTTCCCTTCTGGGCGTCCAACATTTTGTTTCAAGGTCCAAAAGGCTTCTTACAAGCTCTGCTTGTTTTCTGTCTTCCTTTTGTACAGGCTGTCATCCAGCTCTTAGAGGAAGAAATTCAAACTCTAGAATTCCTACAGAGATGGGAAGAATCATCCTTTATGAGCGTGCCAATTTCCAGGGCATGTCCAAAGAATTCACCTCTGATATTGCCAATTTAAGAGATGTAGATTGGAATGATCTTGCCTCCTCGGCAAAAGTAATTGGCCAGCCTTGGGTGCTTTATGAGCATTCAAACTACGGAGGCAAATTTCTGGTACTTGAGGAGGGAGACCATAGCCTTTTTAGTTCAAAGATGAATAATAAGGTCAGTTCTCTGCAGATGATCACTGAAGATCTGAGCAATCCGGAGATCACTCTCTATGAGGATGCCAACTACCAAGGGAAAAGCAGGGTAGTACGAGAAGCGACCAACCTGGCTGCGGGACACGACAATGACATCATGTCTTCCCACAAAGTCCAGAGAGGTGCCTGGCTGCTGTGTGAAAACAGTGATGGAAGTGGAATTCAATACCTTGCTCGAGAACGTGAAAACCTTCCAAATTACAAGGCAATCAATTTCAATGACAAGCTTTCCTTCCTGCGTCCCCTTCGTGCTGGCCGTTCTTATTAGAATGCAAATCCTCCAAAGCTGAGGAAAGATGCAGTCCCAGCAAGAAATTTAAGACCTAGATCTCTGCCTCTGCTTTTATCACATTCTTTGTGATTTGTTTTAAAATGCCCCTGCGATACCATGGCTTCTGCTATTGTCTCTAATCCATTTTGTGTTGATGCCATTAAAGAAACTCTTGCAAGCAACAGTGAGCCTGTTTTATGTACTGTTTAGTGTCGATAAATATTGCCCTTTCATGATGTCTCTGTGTATCCAGAGAATGCTTTGTGCAGTCATTTTGAGCCCTTTTCATGGATATCTCCTGCAAGATTTTATCTCCTTCTAGTTTCACTGTTCAGTAACAGTGGGTTCAGGCTTAACTCAACTAGTGCTAAAGTCTTGGTGAGCATAGTGATAATTGCTGTGATCCTGGCCAAACTCTCACCTGCAGCCTGTACCTAAGTATCACATATTTGATTGTGTTTTAAGACATTGATCACACTGATGATATAGTCTTTTACTGCCCAAATTACGTAATCAAACAGACTGTTCTCACAAATTTGAATTGACTGAATGCTTGGTCCCAATGGTAAAACTTGTATGATTTTTTTAAACAGCTGCCTCACTTTCAATTAAGTTATTGATTAAGAATTTAATTTTTTCTTGGTTTTCTTTGTCATAGTATTCCTCTCCCTTATGCTGCTGTGTTTTCTTGGCAGTGCCTTATTTGACCTTTGAATTCAACAGAGCAATACTATGGCAAAACTTAAATGAGATTCTCTATCCTGGTAAATCAAATCTCAAAAACTGTGAAGCATATTGCTGACAAAAGCAGTAATGAGGGACGTTCTTTCAGAGATCTATAGAGGTCATCAGGAAAATAAATGTGACATGGTCAAATGTGTGCAGCTGCAGCAGATTGTCCCTATAAGGAATTCTCCTCCTTGGAGCAAACTTGCCTTTGTCATTTGTGAGGTCCCAAAGCCCTGTTCACACAGTCCCACGGATTGGCAGAGTGCAGTTCACCTTAGGTAAACACCATCAGCCCCAGAGCTCAGCACAGACTCAGCGCGGCTCCCCCAGGCCCCTGGCCTGTTCATGCTCTCTGTGCCCCAGAGGCAAGTGCACTCAAACTGGACCTGGTGCTGTGAGACACCTTCCCAGGGCAATGTCACCTGTGGGGATGTCGTGGTTTGACACTGGCCAAACACCAGGTGCACACGAAAGCCACTCACTCAACCTCCCCTGCTACAGCTGGACAGAGGAAAGAAAAATTTAACAAAGGGCTCACTAGCTAAGATAAGAACCAGGAGGAAACACTCCAAGGGCAAAACAGGCTCAGCTTGGAGGTACAAAGCGAGTTTATTGCTATCAGCATCACAGCAGGATAATAAGAAGTAAAATAAGCCCTCAAAAACACCTTTTCCCCCCCAGCCCCTCCATTCCACTGACAGCACAGGGAGACAGGGGGTGGAGGTTTTGGTCAGTTTGTCATCCAAGGTTTTCTTCCCCTGTGCAGGGAGACAGGTTGTTTCCCTGTGAGACTGTGGGGTCCTTCTCACAGGAGAAAATTCTCGGTGAACTTCTCCAGTGTGGTTCCAATCTCACGAGCAGCAGCCCTCCCAAAACTGCTGCAGCGTGGGTCACTATTCCTTGGGGTGCAGTCCTCCAAGGACAGGCTGCTCCAGCCTGGATGTAGGGGCCCTTTCCCTCCACCAAGCCACCCACTGGATCACAGCCTCTTCCACACTTCCTGAGTGCCTTCTCTGGCATGGGCACTTCCCCCACAGGCTGCAGGAGGATCTCTGCATTCCCCATGGATCCCCACAGGCAGCAGGGGCACAGCTGCCTCACCATGCTGCCTTGGAATTTTGGCTGCAGAGGAATTTTGGCTCCAGTGCCTGGAGCAGCTCCTCCCCTCCTTCTCCACTGACTTGGTGCCCCCATGTTGTTTCCCTCACATGTTCTCACCTGCTCCTCTTTTCCATCTGGAATGAAAACTGTGCCCCCGCCTTTGTTTTGGTTTCTTCTTAAGTACATTATCACAGAGGTGTTACCACCATCTCTCATTGGCTCAGCCGTGACCAGCAGCATGTCCATGTTCAGAGCCATCAGGGATTGACTCTGCCGGACATGGTGGAAACTTCCAGCAGCTTCTCACAGAACGTGGTCCTCTCACTACCAAAAACCAGGCCATGCAAAACCACACACAGGGGAATACAGCAGCTTATTGATCTAGGGAAGTTCCCAGTGCAGTGATACCCAGGCTCAAGGAGAACCCAGCTTGAGGTGTCCTTAGCAGCAGCACAAGATGGAGTGAGCTGCTGCTCATGTGCACTTCCAGACCTCACAAATCTGACAGAGTGACAAACAAGGCAGCAAAACCCAGTCAAATGTTTTTGAAAAGGCTGGGAACAAACTGTCTATTGGTATCAGTCAAGCCAGAGCCTACCAGCCAGGCTTTTCCCCACAGAAACCACAGCAAACGTATATACCACAGAAAAATCTTCAGCATGTTTAGGAGATGACTAGTGACAGCAAGGCAGGTGTCTAATTGTCACTTTAAGCTCCCCCTCTTCCTGTGGTCACTCAGGAACCCAGGCAGGAGATATTAATAGAATCAGTGATCACCAAGTGTACACAGCAGGTGGTGAGAATCCTGCTGGGAATCCTGTACTCGGCACATCTTTCCTTGGAAATGCCCATGACACTTCAGATGAACTCAGAGCCTTGCAAACATCTCCAATATCATCTTTCAGGAGGTGTGAGTGACAGGAACACACTGGAAAATCACTGTTGCCTGGGGAGAAGTGCTGATTGTTGAATATGGGAAGTAAAACTGCTGCCTTAGGAGATTAAGATGACTGAGGAAGACAAAGGAGAGGGTACCTTGGCTAAATAAGCAAGTAACCAATAGAATCATACTCACAGAATGGTTTGGGTTGCAAGACACCTTTAAGGATCCTGTAGTCCATGGACAGGAATATCTTTCACTAAATCATGTTGTTCAGTGTCCCATCTAACATTGGCTTGAATACTTCCAAGAAAAGGGCATCCACAGCTTCTCTGGGCAACATATTCCAGTGTGTCACCTCCTCACAGTAAAGAATTTCTTACTAATATCTAAACCTACCCTCTTTCAGTTTAAAGCCATTACACCTTGTGTCATCATTGCATGTCCTTTTAAAAATTCCTTCTTCAGCTTTCTTGTAGTCCCTCTAGGTACTGGAAATTGCTATAAGGTCTCCCCAAAGCTGCCTCTTCTCCAGGCTGAAGAGCCCCAGCTGTCTTGGCTTATATTCATGGTGGAGGTGCTCCAACTCTCTGACCATCTTCATGGCCTCCTCTGGACCCTCTCCAACAGGTTGGGGGTTCCAGAGCTGGATGCAGCACTCCACTCCAGGTGGGGTTTCACCAGAGTGGAATAGAGGGGCAGAATCTCCCTTGCCCTGCTGGCCATGCTGCTTGTGATACAGCCAGGACACATTTGGCTTTCTGGGATGTGAGTGCTCACTGCCAACTCACATTCAGCTTCTTGTCGCAGACATCTTTTTGTCAAAATATCTTCTTAATATTTTTTTCTCTTCTGAGAAGCTGAGGCCTCAAAAACAAAATGTAAACAATGGTTATCTGCTGCTGTGGAATGCATCAGGTTTGTCTGTGATTGGGCCATCTCGAGTGTTTACAATTAATGGCCAACCACAGACCAGATAGCTTAGACTCTCTGTCCAAACCACAGATCTCTCTTTTTCATTCCATTCTATTCTTAGCTTAGCTAGCCTTCTGAAGAAACCTTTCCTTCTATTTCTTTCTAGTATAGTTATAATGTAATATATATATATATCTTAAAATAATAAATCAAGCATTCTGAACATGGAGCCAACATTCTCGTCTCTTCCCTCATCCAAGAACCCTTGTGACCACTGTCACAGCTTCTTGTCAGCCAAGCCCCCAAGTCTTTCCCTGCACGGCTGCTCTCAGTCCATTCTTTGCCCAGCCTATATTTGTGCTTGGGATTGTCCCAGTTCACAGGCTGATGCTGCACTTGGCCTTGTTGAACTTGGCTCACCACTCCAGCCTGGCAAGACTCCTCTGGGTAGCATCCCTTCCCTCCATCACCTTGACAGCACTGCAGATCTGGTGTCATCAGCAAACTGACTGAGGGTGCACCCAATCCCACTGTCCACGTTGCCAACAAAGATGTTAAACAGTCCAGTCCCAATACCAGCCCCTGAAAAACACTGCTCATCACTGGTCTCTATTTGGACATTGAGTCATTGTCCCCAACTCTTTGAGTGTGACCATCCAGCCAGATCCTTATCCGTTGGAGCAGTCCATCCACCAAATTCAAGTCTCCCCAGTTTAGAGATAAGGATGTCATGCTGTCAAGCTTCAAATGCTTTCCATAAGCAAAGTAGATAATGTCAAACAGTCTTCCCCATCCATCAATGCTGCAACCCTGTTGTAGACATTTTTTCTGTTGATGCAGACATATTTTTTGTTGATATAGACATATTTATTTATAAACATAGCATTTTCATTTTACTCTGGAAATAGTTTACCATAAAAGGGATAACTTTAGGGCAAACAATCTACAGGTAGTACAAGGCACCTTTATTTAATACTGAAAATTCCTTACCTCACAAATTTTCCCAGCCCCTGTTTCATGCTGGTCTAATCATCCATAATACACTTTCCATAGCTTGTTGAAATAAATACATTGCATTTTCAGCAGGCAGTTTTGTGGTGTGGCAGGTGAGCCTTTCCAAACCCTTGAAATCCCTTTTTTTAAAATGAGAAAAGTGGGAAAGCAGCTCTCCTTGCAGAGCCTGGGGAGTTGCAGGGTGGGGCACACCAGATGGGAACCAGGTAGGACCTCCCCTACCCTGGGCACCCACTGGCACAGCCATTTGGCTGGAGGAGGTTCTGCTTCTCTAGTGCTGCTTGCTTTAATGTCTGCTGATGTTACCTGGAACTCCCATCCAGATTTTTTGTACTTGTCAGTACTACCTCATCTGGTC